AGCCTCTCAGTCTGAGCTGTAATAAGCAGCAGTACTACAACCTGTCAGGTAGTGCACAAAGTGCAGAACCCAGAACGCAGCATGTGCACGGCTCCTCATGGGTTCTGCACTTTGTGTTCCTGCAGCACCACAACCTGACTGAAGTCAAACCAGTAGAGTCCCTAACCCTCTAAAATAACTTTTGAGGTGCTTTGTCTTTATGAGGTTCATTATGTCATAATAGTAACTCTACCTGTCTGTCTCTCACCTGTCTGTCTCCACCTGTCTATCTCACCTGACTGTCTCCACCTGTCTATCTCTCAACTGTCTGTCTCTCACCTCTCTATCTCACCTGACTGTCTCCACCTGTCTATCTCACCTGACTGTCTCAACCTGTCTATCTCTCACCTGTCTATCTCACCTGACTGTCTCCACCTGTCTATCTCTCAACTGTCTATCTCACCTGTCTGTCTCTCACCTGTCTGTCTCTCAACTGTCTATCTCACCTGTCTGTCTCTCACCTGTCTGTCTCTCACCTGTCTGTCTCTCAACTGTCTATCTCACCTGTCTGTCTCTCACCTGTCTGTCTCTTATCTGTCTATCTCACCTGTCTGTCTCTCACCTGTCTGTCTCTCAACTGTCTATCTCACCTGTCTGTCTCTCACCTGTCTGTCTCTCACCTGTCTGTCTCTCAACTGTCTATCTCACCTGACTGTCTCCACCTGTCTATCTCTCAACTGTCTATCTCACCTGTCTGTCTCTCACCTGTCTGTCTCTCAACTGTCTATCTCACCTGTCTGTCTCTCACCTGTCTGTCTCTCAACTGTATCTCACCTGTCTGTCTCTCACCTGTCTGTCTCTTACCTGTCTGTCTCCACCTGTCTATCTCTCACCTGTCTGTCTCTTATCTGTCTGTCTCCACCTGTCTATCTCTCACCTGTCTATCTCACCTGTCTGTCTCCACCTGTCTATCTCTCAACTGTCTATCTCACCTGTCTGTCTCTCACCTGTCTGTCTCTCACCTGTCTGTCTCTTACCTGTCTGTCTTCACCTGTCTATCTCTCACCTGTCTATCTCACCTGACTGTCTCCACCTGTCTATCTCACCTGTCTGTCTCTCACCTGTCTGTCTCTCACCTGTCTGTCTCTCACCTGTCTGTCTCTCACCTGTCTGTCTCTCACCTGTCTATCTCTCACCTGTCTATCTCACCTGTCTATCTCTCACTTGTCTGCCTCACCTGTCTGTCTCCACCTGTCTATCTCTCAGAGAAGAGTCAGCAGGAGGCGTTGGAATATTTCACGAAGCAGATGAACGACGCTCATCATGGAGGCTGGAGCACCAAGATGGACTGGATCTTCCACACCATCAGACACATGCCCAACGAGCACTGACACACACACACACACACACACACACACACACACACACACACACACACACACACACACACACACACACAGTGGCGTAACAAGGTTGTGATTGGCCCCGGTGCAAACATTGTTTTGGGCCCCTCCCCATCGCCCCAAACATCGCTGATGCGCTCACACACACACGGACATACACAACGACTCAGAAGCGCCACATGTATAGGCTATCAACACCAGCCTGCCGGGCCTCAGACCACCACAGCCTGACAATGACACAGCGAACTAAGAAGAGGATGACACCTGTTTCCTTGATGCTTGTCTCTGGGGGATGGGCCGGTAGGCTTACATAGACCGGTTGCTATAATATAGCTTTTGATCTTGGCGTCGGGGGTCTCAATAGCGCCATAGAGTCCCCTATCGGTTGGGGCCCTTGGGGGAACTGTTAATAATAATAATATATTAATTTTATATAGCGCTTTTCTGGACCCAAAGACGCTTTACATTTGGGAGGGGGGGTATACAAACAAAACAAAAAAAACAGAGACAAAGCCAAAAAGAAACAAAACACAACAGAAAAGCAGTCAGGAGGAAGTTGATTAAGAGGGGGGGGGGCTTTATAGATAAAGAGTTGAAGAGGTGGGTTTTGAGGCGGGACTGGAACAGGGTGAGGGACTCAGACTCACGGAGGTCTTGGGGGAGTGAGTTCCAGAGCTTCGGGGCTGCCACAGAGAAGGCTCTGTCCCCGAAGCTCCGGAGTTTGGCCTTGGGGATTGAAAGCAAACCGGCTGAGGTGGATCTGAGGGACCGGGGTGGTTGGTAGAGGGTGAGGAGGTCAGTGCGGTAGGGGGGGGGGGCCAGATGGTGGAGGGCTTTATAAGTGATAACTGTTGGACCACCGCCGGGCACAGCCACATCCAGCCTCTCCTCCTGGCTGGCTGGAGAAGAAGGTTGCACAGCCACGGCCACGGATACAGCTTCACTTGTGGAGCTGGATGGCAATGATGGCGGTGAGGCAGGTGAGCTATCGTTAGCTTCCGGCTGCCGCTGCACGTCAACATTGCTAACATTAGCGCTCCATTTCGAGGACGATTTATGACAACAAAAACGGTCTAATTTTGTCAGTTTAGCTTGTTCTCTCTTGTCCTTTCTCTTTTGAGCGCTGCTCTTGTGCTTTGATTTGCTGTACATTATAAATGCAACCTATTACATGTTTTATAATGCTGCCAAACTTGCTGCTACAGTACAGGTTAATTAAACGGTTCGCTCGTTACGCAAGGTATCACATGACATGAAAGGGTTAGGTCAATGCCATTGGCATTGGCAAAAAATAAATAACTATATTTTTTGCATGGGCCCCTTGCCGGCTCGGGGCCCCGGTGCGTTGCACCGGCTGCACCGGCGATAGTTACGCCACTGCACACACACCATCAGACACATGCCCAACGAGCACTGACACACTAACACACACACTCTAGCACACACACACTTGTGATTTAGCATCATGGTATGGATGTTGATGGGATGGTTGTCATAGCAACATGAATATCAGGGTCAGAGGTGAAGGAAGCCAAAGGCATGCTGGGAAAAGAGAAGGTCGTAAAAGTCTTCCAGTCGATGCTACAGTTAGCATGTTAACTCTGCTAGCTGCGTGCTGCTGTTAGCATGTTAGCTCTGCTAGCTGCATGCTGCTGTTAGCATATAAGCTAGCTGCCCTAAATACTGTAGCATTTGAATGAAACTTTATTAATGTGACTTTATAAACTTGAGAATTTGAATGAAGCTTTATTCAAACCAGCAAAGTGCGAGAGCAATAAAACCTCCAATTACATTCAAGACGTTATCATGACAATCAGGAGTTCTGACCAATAGGAAGGCAGAGCTGACCAGCTGTGGGCGGAGCCTAGAGCACTAACCAATCACGTCTCTGTAAATCAAAGCACAACAGATCAGCTGAAGTTTACAGTTTGAACCAAAACGACCACTTTTTATACGAAGATAAGTTTTAATCTAATTATTAAAACAACATTCAAACTTTTCCTCCAGAAAGTCATTCGTTAAACATTAGGACTTCATTTTAAAGCTTCGGAGAATTTTTCTACCAACATTAAACCGTTTGTACCTAAAAATACTAAGATTTCAGATCTATTTTCTTATAAATGTCAAGAAGTTGAGGAGCTGTTCATATTTTAAATATTGCAGCTCATCCTAATATTACAAAGTCATTAAATCAATCTCTGTGCAGCTGATTCATAGTCTCTCCGTCCACAGCCGGTGGCTCGAGACCCAAATTAGCTCCAACGTTTTGAATATTTATTCAATTTGAATCATCTCAGAGAGAGACGCTCTGATTTCTACTGGACATATTGCGTTATATCAGGGAACAAGCTCAACCAATCAGCTGCTCGTTAGCCGTGGCAATGCTAGGCTCATTGTTAGTGTGCAAGCAAGGTGCACCCATAGTTAGCTAGAAGTTAAAGGGTGACGTTAGCGTAGCATCAGCTGGGTAATGGATGACGTTAGCGTAGCATCAGCTGGGTAATGGATGACGTTAGCGTAGCATCAGCTGGGTAATGGATGACGTTAGCGTAGCATCAGCTGGGTAATGGATGACGTTAGCGTAGCATCAGCTGGGTAAAGGGTGACGTTAGCGTAGCATCAGAGAGGTAAAGGGTGACCTTAGCGTAGCATCAGAGAGGTAAAGGGTGACGTTAGCGTAGCATCGGAGAGGTAAAGGGTGACGTTAGCGTAGCATCGGAGAGGTAAAGGGTGACCTTAGCGTAGCATCGGAGAGGTAAAGGGTGACGTTAGCGTAGCATCAGAGAGGTAAAGGGTAACGTTAGCGTAGCATCAGAGAGGTAAAGGGTAACGTTAGCGTAGCATCGGAGAGGTAAAGGGTGACCTTAGCGTAGCATCGGAGAGGTAAAGGGTGACGTTAGCGTAGCATCAGAGAGGTAAAGGGTAACGTTAGCGTAGTATCAGATAGGTAACGTTAGCGTAGCATCAGCTGGGTAATGGGTGACGTTAGTATAGCATCAGAGAGGTAAAGGGTGACGTTAGCATAGCATCAGAGAGGTAAAGGGTGAAGTCGCCAGTTTTTTATTTTAATGTGAAGGTGTGTGTTTGTGTCGTTAACCATGACGACCTGACCCCGCCCCATGCTGCATGAAATCATCAACGGTGCTGTTACCATGGTGACTTGAGTGTGTTGTACTCATGATGGTTTGTAATGTTGAATATGATTTGTGGTTTTAATCCTGACGCTGTCGGATCCTCGTCTCAAAGACTTTTTACCGCAAACAGAGACGATGGATCGACCAATAGGAAGAGCTGTGCAGCTCCACGCCCAGATATGGTACCGGAGAATTCACTTCTTCAAAAAAAGCAAAAACTACAAACATGGAGACTGTCAGTGTTATTATGTACTTTCAAAATAAAAGCTCAACAGGTGTGACACAGTTGAAGTTGGTCTTATTAATTTCTAACATACATATATAAAATTATTTCAAGGGTCAAGGTTCTCTATTTCATATTTTCAGTCCAAAATACTTACAAGTAGAAATACTTCTACACTAAAGTATTTCATATGTTGAGTAGAAATACGTACAAGTAGTAATACTTGTAATACAAGTGCGAAACGCCTTCCGTTAACATTGTCCTTTCTCCACTTCCATCCAGTCTCTCTGCACATGCGCACTGAGCTTTGTTTGAGTTGAGCCTCATGAGGAGCCGCAGAGAAACAAAGTAAAAACAATACAGTAATTAAGTCAGAATAAAGAGGATCTTGATCCGGAGCAGCGATGGACCTGCTTGAGCGGTAAGACTCAATAACATCATATAAAGCAGATCAAAGACCGACGATCCGCCGGCGAAATACCGGCAAAATCCGGGAATTATCCGGTACCAAAACTCCGGAGCTAACTGCTAACAGTTAGCATCAGCTGTTTTAAACCAATACTGCAGTAATACTGTAATACTGTTTACATACTGTAATACTGTTTAAATACTGTAATACTATCTGTTTAAATACTGCTGGAATACTATCTGTTTAAATACTGTAATACTGTTTAATACTGTATATATATATATATATATATATATATATATATCCTAGGCTTGTTTGAGATGAGCTGCGGCTCGCCTCCAAAGTAGAAGAGAATAGCCGATTGCAGCGGGGCAGGTTTCAAAAGGCTCGCCTGAAGTCGGACAGCTCGGAGTCGGCTTGACTCGGTTTGCATTTATAAAGAATGCACACATGTGTTTAATCGTTAATGTCAGATATTATGAAGGTAGATATGGTGCAAAATGCGAGAGCGTGTAAAACCTGATGTGAGCACTTGCAGAAAAAAAATCTGAGCTTGTGTGTGCATACATTTACACTTGTATAAAATATCCACGTAACTGTGAACCAAAGTTGAAGTCATAGAAGAACAAAAAAGTGTTGTAGCTTGTAGAAAAAAATGAACTTAGTGATGAAATGTTCACTTGCAGAAAAATACATATTTTTAAAATATATTTTCCATTACAATTGCAACTTGATTATTACAACCTCTCAAATCAGTCATTACAACTTGACAAATCTGCTCTGTGGCAGAATACATCGACGAATCTGCGGCCTTGACTTTTGCTACACTTCTTGCGATAAATGTGTCGCAAAAGTAATTTTCACCTGTAGATGTGGGGGGGGGGGGGGCATGGATGTATAATAAGAACTGGATACAGCGTGGGAGGCGGGGCCTCATTCATTCCTATGAGAGTTGCTCAATGGCGCATGATGACAAAATGGCCCAACTTTTGAGAGAGCGAAACGTCACAGATTACCCAGCATGCCTGAGAAGTACCCGTATGTGCACTCATAGCGCATGCGCAACTTTAACCACGCCGCCCAAAAGGCTCGTTCACATTAAGCACGTGAAATTGCGTACACGTAACAGCACCGCGCGTTCATGACAGCATGGTACTGGATTTATATTAACGAGGCGGCAGTTAGCAGCTAGCGGCTAGCTAGTAAATTATGCTAAGTTACACATCAATCGTTATGTACTTTTTTATCACGCTGACATCAGGATCTAGTGATATCCAAGCAACAGAGCATGTAGCATGATACTTGTGTGGGTTGTACATGAAACCACTTGGTAATATATAAAAATGTATATGTTGAAGCCTGTTATGATCAATTGTGAGTTAAAACTTGATCTAAAAAGTGAAGCTGATGATGGATTACTGTGGTGGAGTTAAAATAACAATAGCCTATTTCTTTTTGAAATGTGATGGAGTAAAAGGATAGTAACTGTGATTATTCATGTTAGCCCACAAGTAACTAAAACAATTGCAAGTGCAATAAGAAGCTACAGGAACGTTAATCTACGTCGGTAATATTAACTTTATTTAATACAACATTTACGGTACAAGATTTAATCATACAGCCCATGTAGTATAATATTTTACAAATGATGAATTACAGCAAACATGTGCAATATCCATTATTACAGCTCCGTGGCAGTAAGGCGATATGGTCCGTTGTTATTGTGCATCCATGGGTAAAGAGAAACGCATGTAGTGCTGAACACGTAACGTGAACGTGCCGGGCGGCGCGGTCCCGTGGGTTAGATGCGCGTTCATAATGCAGAGGGAAATAACTCTCAGAATAACGTTATTAGCACATTTTTACAACTTGAGGAACGAATGTTTTTAATAAGGGCTATACAAGTGTTCACACTGGGTTGTTTATTTAGTTTAAAAACAATTATCCAACGAGTTACAGACCACTCTTTCCCCATGTAAGTCAATGGGAAAAAGTGTTTCCGGGCCCAGCAACCAAAAGGAAGTGTAGTACCGCCGTTTGACCAGCACGAATATTCTCATCAGACTCCGGCGCACTTCCTGGGGGCTTGGGAGGGAGGGGGGTTGGAGCGAAGGGGCGGAGCTATCAGAAGGACGAGGCTCGGGTGATTGGAGACTGCGGGGCTAACGGTTCGTGTCGCTACCAGTCCGCTGACATGGCGCATCAATCAACGGTAAGTTTTGCCCATTACTTGCCCAGTATTACTTTGAATATTATTATTGTGATTGAGGATTAAATCCGCTTTGAAGACCACCGTTTTATATCGTGCAGTTTAGCGGCAAAATAACGTCAGTCAGCCAGCTAACGCTAGCTTTGTTGAGTTTATGCTAGCTAAAAAAGAAGTGGTTGTAGTCTACAGCAGTAATTAATATATTATAGCCTACTGCTTTGGCACTAACGGTTGATAACCGTTTATGAAAATAAAACCAATTGAACTGTACTGAAATAATGACAAGTTTTATAATTGTCTTGGGCTCCTGCTGTTTTTAAAGCCTTTGGAAATTATCCACGCTATTTTCTATTTAGAACGAAGACTTCAGAATCTTAAAATCCCTTAACGTTTGTATGAAATTGTGCTAAATTCAACTCTGGAATCAAGCAAATATTAATATGTTTGCATGACATTAGTTATTTATATTTTGCCATCACTGAACTATATGTTTAATACATTTAAGTCAAGCTAAGGTACATGTGATGGTAGCTAGTTAGTGCTCTTACCTGTGATGCCTCCTCCAAACTTCTCTGAGAAGAGAAGAAATACTATTCTAAAAGGAGCTGACACATGGTGTCTCTTCACTTGTACACTTGAGGGGTGAGAGTTCATATGGTGAGGGATTCCATGAGCGGTATGCGCCGGCCTGTGCCTTTACCTTGGACTTCTAATAGAACTGCTCGGGTCTTGATAGATTGAGTGGGGAAGTTCATGAGATCTTTCTAGAGGGTTATCAAGAATAACTTTTATCCAATGACCTTTCCCCTCTCTGTCTGTGTCTGTGTATTCTCTTGTTCCGATTAACCCAGCCAAATCTTTCTTCTTGTTTTGTATCTATATCTACGCCGGGATCCGGAGTCGAGGCTGATCCTCTTGCTGTAGTCCTGTGTCTTGGATCCTCTATCCTGAGTTCTGGATTAGGTCGTGGACTTCGGGTCGTGGCTGAACCTGTCTCTGCGGTCCTGCCTTGGGTCTCGTCATGCTGCTTCCCTGATGGCTTCCACAGGATTGTAGCTGACATCCTCGTGGATTCATCTTCTTATTACAGACACATGCATTTCCTAACATTCTGTCTATATGCTGTAACATGTATTATCTCTTGGATTTACACACGGCATCTATTGCACGTCTGTCCGTCCTGGGAGAGGGATCCCTCCTCTGTTGCTCTCCCTGAGGTTTCTCCCATGTTCCCTTTCAACTGTGGGTTTTCTCTGGAAGTTTTTCCTTGTACGATGTGAGGGTCTAAGGACAGAGGGTCTAAGGACAGAGGGTCTGAGGATAGAGGGTCAGAGGACAGAGGGTCTAAGGACAGAGGGTCTAAGGACAGAGGGTCTGAGGATAGAGGGTCTAAGGACAGAGGGTCTGAGGACAGAGGGTCTAAGGACAGAGGGTCTAAGGACAGAGGGTCTGAGGATAGAGGGTCTAAGGACAGAGGGTCAGAGGATAGAGGGTCTAAGGACAGAGGGTCTAAGGACAGAGGGTCTGAGGACAGAGGGTCTGAGGACAGAGGGTCTAAGGACAGAGGGTCTAAGGACAGAGGGTGTCGTTTTTCTCATACTGATATTCTGAACAATCTGTGCTGTTGTATTTGCTGTAAAGTGTCTCTACTGTAGGCTAATTTTATTATATGTTCAGCTCTTTGGCTCCACCAAACATCCTTTATAAATGTGCGATATAAATAAAACTTGATTTGATTTGAAACAGCATAATAACCAGACTGTATCATTAAAACTAAGTACCAGTTCTAGATCCTTGACTTTAGACAAACAATTCAAAAGACAACATGTATTTAAAGACCAATCTTTATTTGAATGTGCCTCTTAACCTGAGATATTAGTTATACAGTAATAGTATTGACAATCTAAAAAAACGGAGCAACTCAACAGTCAACTTTATGTTTCTTATTGTCTAAAGGGTCCGGAAAATCATCCATAACATCTATCTGGTCGACTAACCGCCATGTCCCACAACTGTCATGTCATCTGAGCGCACTTATTACTCCATATTATACACCCACCACTGGTCCGTTACAATCCCAGCTGTACCGAAAACCTGGAGTGGATTCCACTGCCCTCTTCTCAGAGCTGGTCAAAATTCCTGGAGTGGATCCCACCGCTCTCTGCTCAGAGCTGGCCCAATTACCTGGAGTGGATTCTTCTGCCCTCTGCTCAGAGCTGGCCCAAATACCTGGAGTGGATTCTACTGCCCTCTGCTCAGAGCTGGCCCAAATACCTGGAGTGGATCCCACCGCCCTCTGCTCAGAGCTGGCCCAAATACCTGGAGTGGATCCCACCGCCCTCTGCTCAGAGCTGGCCCAAATACCTGGAGTGGATTCTACTGCCCTCTGCTCAGAGCTGGCCCAAATACCTGGAGTGGATCCCACCGCCCTCTGCTCAGAGCTGGCCCAATTACCTGGAGTGGATTCTACTGCCCTCTGCTCAGAGCTGGCCCAAATACCTGGAGTGGATCCCACCGCCCTCTGCTCAGAGCTGGCCCAAATACCTGGAGTGGATCCCACCGCCCTCTGCTCAGAGCTGGCCCAAATACCTGGAGTGGATTCTACTGCCCTCTGCTCAGAGCTGGCCCAAATACCTGGAGTGGATCCCACCGCCCTCTACTCAGAGCTGGCCCAATTACCTGGAGTGGATTCTACTGCCCTCTGCTCAGAGCTGGCCCAAATACCTGGAGTGGATCCCACCGCCCTCTGCTCAGAGCTGGCCCAATTACCTGGAGTGGATTCTACTGCCCTCTGCTCAGAGCT